CTTGTGACATCTGAATGTTAATCAGATTATGAAATTTCCTCTAAATTAAGTATCTTTCATTTGACAAAACATAAGTTTAACTCTGTTTTACCTAAGGAAATGTTTGGGTTTTAACTATAGCTAGTAAGTAATTATAAAATCATTAACCACATCTTTTATTTCAAGTTAATTGAAATTCCCTGTTAAGAATTCATTACTGATTTCACATTTAAATTTAGAACCTTGTTTTATTTTTGTATGCTCTTTTCAAACCTAAAAGTTCTCTAAAGAATATATTATTAAAAATTCTCTAAAAATTATTTCTAATCCAAGAAAATTACAAAATTATGCAGTTTTTGCTATGACAAACCATGCCATATGGTTGAATTCCTAGTAACAATGTCAAGAAAAAAGTCTTATGTTAAAAATCTGCACATATTTTGGGGGAAGGGGTGTAGGCTGGTGGACATTATTAGGAATGGATATATTACTTCCATATTAAATAAGTGGTGAAGGGCTGTGGTTAACACATGTGAAAAAAATGCCCAGTTCAATCTCTAGTATCTATCTACAAGTAATATTGGTGGAGATTCCCATCTAAAATAGCAAAAACACAATAATTAAGGTAGACATTCTGAGAGATGAATAAATGAGCTGATGTCATAAGACAATTTTTTGGCAATGTGAAACATAAGTTATTGGTTTTATACATCGTCATTATTCAAACATGAAATGACTGTTTCAATAAAAATAGGGTATGCATTTAATTTTGTACAATTCAATTTTGGCAGCTCAAGGTCATAGTCAGATGAGTTCTGGATCTAATAAAGCAAAGGTCTTATTGGCTATGCTTCAATGATACAATAGAAAATACAATGAAGACAACGGTAATTCAGTTGGAAAGGAACAAATAAATTAATGATAAAGGTTTCAGAATGTTTTAAATAGTCTATAGATCCTTATACAAGATAAAATATTTGCAAAAGTGATTAGTTTCCTGAAAGGAACATCTGTGAGCCATGGAGATTGCTGTCCCTATGCAGCTGGTGCTGATCTTTCTAGGCAGTTCAGATCAGTTCCATTTAAGTGCTACTTCTGCATATGTAGCTTCATGCAATACAGGCTGACCAATATTAATGCAGTTTTGGTAGAAAAAAGGTTATTCTGCTGCAGGATTCGGCCTGTTATAACTAAAGAATCTTACTTTTGCCATCTTGACTGTATTATAGCATAACCTATGTATGCAATATTGTAAGTAGCTCCCTTCTAATTTCCAATCACCACATTGGTTTGAGATCGAATTATGATGACAAGTGCTGCATAATGTAATTTTGAGATTGTTCCTGCCAAATCCAAGACTGCATTTTCAATAAAAGTGATTCTATGTGCTCTAGTACACTTATCTCTTCCAAGTGAACAATAAAAAAGTAAGTTTCCCATCCCGTTGTGCCCAACTCTAGAGAGTGGTGCTCATCTCCATTTCTTAGCTGAGGGAGCCAGCGTTGTCTGAGGATACTTACGTGACTATGTGACCAGCATAAATATATGCTGAGGTGCACAGAATGCTGTTACCTTCCCACCGAAGTGGTACCTATTTATCTACTTGTTTTTGCACACTTTCAAATTGCTAGGTGGGCAGAGCCTGGGGCAAGTAACGGGAGCTTATCCTGTTGTGAGATGCTCAGGTCTTGACAAGCTCAATGTCTTTAATATTGTGAACAATACTGGATTTTATTATAGAATGGAAAACAACAAAACTAAAAGCTACCATTATATTTATATCCCTCCACTTACCTAATTGAGGCTCTCAGGAGATTATTTTGATTTTTGCCTCATACTCCTATAAACACTGATACACCTGTTTCCCAACTTATTTTCCCAACCTTGTGGACCATTGTAGTACTAGTTTTCCGAGTGTATAGCATAAATATTATATTCTATAAGTTTATGCTCTGATAGGGTGGCAGTAGTTAACTTCCTGAAGATTGGAACTGCAGTTCATTTCCCTGGCTATCTTGAAGGCATGATGGCATCAGAAAGTTGGTGACATTATAGCAAAGGTAGGAACTAATTTAAGACCCTTTGCTTTGCAGTTTTTAGCAGGGGGTACTAAGAAGCTAATTAAGAAAAATGCTCTAGCAGGGTTTTGTAAGGTTCCATCCTGGAGTGGGTCAGAAAGAACTAAAATTGGTAAAGAAGTACACTCTGATGAATCTGTGGAATTAATTCCCTCCTGAATATTAACAGGGAGGGAGTCATCCTGATTTTTAAAAGTACTATTGGCTTGGAGTAGACCTTCTGAATGAGATTAATTTTACTTACATTGAGTCAAGCTCCTGGTAGAGTAGAAGCAAAATAAACACATATCAAGCTAAGTTTACTAAAGAAGACAATGATGGAAGTAAATGTAAGACAGCCATCTCTTCTGTCCTGAGGACTAACTGTGCCATCAGAAATCATTTATTTCTAAAATCTGTTGTTTAAAAATGCTATTAATGAAGCAAGGATCCAGTTTGCATCCAAAGCTCTCTATTCTCAACAAAAAGCAACACTCTGTGATGTTCTACTGAATGTTTATTTGGCTGATCTGAAAACCTCTTATACCCTAGAAAGAACAGCTTGTCCCCATCCTTAACGCAACACCACAGGTCTTTGAACACTTAGTAAGTCCCCTTCCTTTCTTTACAAAATAGTACAATGCCAATTCTTCCCAACATTTCACCACCACAGTATGACAACATGCAGAATTGTTCTTTGTTAGATTCCTTTTAATGTCTTCTGAATTCAGATGACAAGAGCAAACCCAGTCCAAACAGCAGCATCCAAGCCAGGCAAAGGAGAGAAGATCCTCCTACAGCTATGCAAAAATTCACTTCATTTTTTGAATGTTTATGTTCAACACCTTTATTGTTATACATACATACCTCACACTTCTACTGTAAATATTCCTGGGAAAACGAAAACAGATTCAATACTATATTGGTTGTGTTATTTTATTTATTCTCCTCATCCAATCTACATCTTGCCTTTCATAGCATTCCCATCTCCAAATCCAGAAATATGGATAAAATAGGATCATCATTTGTATTTGTGATTCAAGTTGAGCTATAGGAGGTAGTTAATTTTTTTGATTTCACATCAAAACTGATTTTTTAAAAATAGCTTGAGGGTCAGTGGTTTCTATATAAGAAGCCAGAACCCATCTTTCAGGGAAAGCTGAAGAGATCATCTGAAAAGCAATCCTTTCTCACATTTTTATATTGCCTGGATCACTTTTTTTTTTTGCCTTCTCTTTGAAAAACAGGCAGACGGGATGGCAGGTGAATGCCGAATACCAGAAGCTACAAGTAGTCCTCAACTTACAACAGTTCATTTAGTGACTGTTCCAAGTTACAACCCTGAAAAAAGTGACTTACAACCCTTTTTTAGTCACAACCTTGGTAGGTCCCCATGATCATGTGATCAAAATTCAGATGCTTGGCAGCTGGTTCATACTGCTGCGTTCCAAGGTCAAAGAATCCCCTTTTGCAACCTTTTGACAAGCAAGGGGGGGGGGGGGGGGGAGAGCCAGATTCACTTAACAACTGAGTTGCTAACTTATCAACGGCAGTGATTCACTTAACAACTGCGGCTAGGAAGGTCGTGAAATGGGGCAAAACTCACTTAACCAATGTCTCACATAACAGAAATTTTGGGCTCAGTTCTGGTTATAAGTCGAGGACTGTCTGTACTGTGCTCTTTCTGGGCTTCTTTCCCAGGAGAGAGCTGCGTAGAAAAATACCAAAAAAGAAAGAAAAAGGGTGGGGGTGGGTGGAGAGAGCAAAAAGAAAGGAAGAACGAACAGCTCTTGCTCCCCATTGTGGGGGGCCCAGCAAACTAAAGCTGGGCTACCGACGCCGCCGAGAAACAGGGAGCCCCCGGGGGTCTTATCCTGGTGCCTTTGCCTCGTTAGCACCGGCGGAAGCTCGGTGCGTCGTTGAGAACCTCACGGGGCAATTTTTGCCCGGCATCCACCCTGAGGGGAGGAGAGGGCGCCGAGAGAGGGAGGGGCGGGCCGAGTAGTAACTCCTCCCCCATCGCCTCGAGAGCGGAGGCCCCGCCTCTTCCCTCAAGCGCCCCCCCCCCCGCCGGTCTCCTCAGGCCGGGAAAAGGGCGGTTTGGCTTCTGCCCATCCCCCCCGCATTTCAGAACCACACAGGAGACCTCCAGCCTCTTGGTTGCCGCACTTTCCCCGCGTAAGATGGCGGCGGTGGCGACACTAGTCAACCCGAGCCATTTTAACGCCCCTAAAAGCGCGGGGATTGGGGGGGGGGGGAAGAGAGACAACAGGAAAGAACGCTCTCCCCATGCGCCTTCTTCCAAGCGGCCCCAAAGTGCGAAAGCGGGCAAAGAAAGACCGATTCTCTCTCTTCCCCCCCCCCGCCCCCAACATTCACCACAAATTACATCTTTCAACTCAGCCACTCTCCGTAGGCGGGATATTCGATTACCAGCGCGGCTTCGCTTCTTTTCCTCACAACCCCCTCCCCCCCACCGGGAAATAATAAAAAGGAATAATCATTGGCAGGCTTCCCAGCCCCCGCCCCAACACCACCACACCGGAGCCGGGAATCGTAGTCCCGCCCCTTGGATGTCCTCCCGTTGAAAGGGAGTTGATTGCAGCGCGCGCTGAGGCGGCTGTGCCGGGCGAGCGCGTTGCTCTCCAAGCCGCGTGCAGTCCAACTGTTCCTCAGGAACACACGCGCTCCTCCTCCTCCTCTCCTCCTCCACACGCAGATGTACTGAAGAAAACCCACATTAATTCCACCCCCCCTTCTGTCTCCCCCTCTCTCTTTCTCTATCGCTGCCCCCCCCCCCGCCCGTGTAAGATTCAACTCCCAATCCCCTTCTTCAGCCCGACGGGAGGGAGGGGGGGGGGAAGAGGACTTATCATTCATACTGAAAGCCCCGCCTCTTCCGGGCCTGTGAGGTTGGGCCACCGCCTCCTCTCCTCCTCTCGCTCTCTCGTTCGCTCTCTCCCTTTTGTGAGTTATAGCAACCGTTGCCTTGTGAATCAAGCGCCATAGTCACCGTAGTCCTGGCGACTGTTACCCATCAACAACAACGGCTCCTTTCCTCCTTCACCACCATCACCACCTCCTCCTGCTGCTGCTGCTGCTCCTCCTCACCCCCAGCCTCACCCCCATCCTCATCATCACCCACAACAACAACCTCCAGCAGCAAGAGCAACACCATCACCACTACCACAGCCCTCCACAGCCCAGGTGAATATGATTGTAATGTGCAACCCCCCCCCCACCTTCCTTTTTTTTTTTCTTTCTCCCCCCATCGAGAAACCGGCCTGCAGTTGCTCCATTGAGCTGAATCACTGAATGTGGTGCAAAGCGGGGAAAACTGTAATGTGTCTTATGTGTGAGACTGTATGTGTGTGTGATTCCTCCCCCGGCCTGTTTTGTGCTTTCTTTATATATCCCCTCTTCCCCCTCCTTTCTTCTCTGATAGTGGCTGTAGTGAATTGGTGGAGTTGAAATGGGAAAGTGGATATGGTTTGCACTGGGGGTGGTGGTGGTTTAAGAATGGAAAGGAAATTGGATGTGAAGTGGGGGGGGGGAGCTCCCTCATGATCCTCATAAGGAGTCTGGAGAGGAGTGGGGGGTATTTTTTGTTCGTTTTAATGTGCCTCATATTCTTATTTTTAGGGAGTTAATGGATGAGGGGGAAATAAGGTGGCTGTCCATGCTCTGGGTAGTTCCATGCTTTAACTTGGAAATTGGGGGTTTGATATATTAAGATGTAGGGGCTTGGAACTTGTGTGTGGGCCTTGGACTCCCAACTGGGGATTGGGTAGCTTGTGAACTTTTCTTCTTCTTCTTTTTTATTGTGTGTGTTTCTGATCATCCTCACCCTACTTGCTTTTTAACCTTTTCAGTACTTTATTATGAGCAGGTTGTTTCCGAAATATTGACGTTAGCTTGATCATTCATAGGCAATTATCTTTGTGGTGCAGATCTTTCTCTTGTTCATTAAACACTGCAATACCACACAATGTTGATTTGAAAGACGTAAGAGAAATATTTGAGAAATTCATGAGGTGTGATTTAATTCAAATTTAATGCATGTGTATAATTTCAATTTGTTACGATTCTTCCTAGATTAAGCTTGGGGTAAAAGCTGCAAGTAATCTTTCTTGTCTGAAAATTATGTTTATTAAGGATATTTTGTATATGAAATGAAAAGAAACAAGAAAGTGGTAGGAAAAAATTATCCAGATACCGTCTTAATTATTGTAGCTTTTATATATATTAATTACTCTTGTGTCTTTTTATTTTTCTTAAATGCTGAAATGGAAATCAAATTGATCATAAAGAATTACAAATCTTGTGAATTGGAATATGTGAATGCTTAATCATCACTGTAGTTGGTAATTATGACTTGTAGGTTTGTACCAGGAGCATATGGTAATTGTTTGCTCTTCCTGGACAAAAGGTAATATTTCTTATACACCTCAGTGGGACAAGTTGTTGACACTCAGTTACTTTGCACCTGACCCACCTCTGCTCCAGGTTTTTAACATGGTATTGAAACATTTCTCAATTACTAATGCTGATCATCGGAGTTCATATTTTATTTAGAATGCAACCCAAATGTCTTGCTGCTCACTTTTAAAAAAAAATATTGTGATTTTTGAAAGAGATCCTAAGTTTCCTAATTACATTCTATTAATTTGACTACTACTTATAAAAGAGACTGTTTTATCTGTAAATATTTTTTCACAGTTGTGAAATCTGTATTGAATAGAATGTTACTTTTAACAATGCCAACAAAATTATATTGATTTATCTGATAGAACAACCCCTGAAGAGTCTATCAGGGTATATTATTTCTTAGATGTCAGTTGCAAAGCAGGTTAGGTGATTATTAAGATTTTGGGCTGTTTTCTGAATAAGACATGTATTGTGTCATTTTAGTTCATGAACTTATTACAGTATATATGTGTACCTATGTGCATTTATATACAAACACACATATATGAAGGGTATATTATAACATTCTAAAAACTACTGTAAAAACCAGAAATGGATGGATTATTCTTTCATTAGGTATGTACATTGCAAATTATGTTATATACAGAATATAAATTAATTATTGCTTCTGTTTGGATTTTTATTACAGTAATGGCAGTTTTCTGCTTCCTTTTGTTGGCTGCATTCACCTGTTGTCTTACTTTAAACTAAAATTTGTAATTTATAAACTTAGAAAAAATAGTATTATTTTTCTAGCTGTATCGTTTCTAATCACTAAGATTACAATGTCCCATAGACTCAAAGCCAGAATATGTCATTTAGTGTAATAAAGTATGACCATTGCGATATGGTGCAGACTTACAATGCAAATATTGAACCTTTTTCTGATCCACAACAGTGATCAACTAATCAGCTTGTTATGGTTTTTTCTTTCGTATCTTAAAATGACAGATTCCATGGCATTACTTTTTAAGCTTTCACAGGACTACTTTGGTTAATAGTAGTGTACATATTAAATTTCTTTCTAGAAAAGCTAACTTTAAAGGTATCACAATTAGCTATTTCCTAGGTAAGAAAACAGATTATGTTCTGATAATAATCTAAAATATTGAGAAAAGATTCTTTGAGTAGTTCAGAAGGTAAATTAGTAAGTTTGTTGAGATGGGAACTCCATATCTTTTCTTATTTGACTTATTAAATAATATAATAAAAGTATATTTCCTTTGTTGACATATCTCACTGAACCACAGGAGGAAGATGGGATGTCAAATTAAAAACCACCAATGCTAATTAATGTAATATTTTCATGTTACATAACTGGACCTTTGCAAATTGGGCTTTCCTTTGCCTTGCATTCCAAGTCTCAGAGTTTGGGGGAGGCATAACTGGGGAGCTGCAGAGGAAGAATGTATACTGTCTGTGATTTCCAGTGTGCTAAAGGATGGGCAGATACATCCCCAAATCAATAAGATTTTTTTCTCATTATGATTCCTGATATACTATATTATGCTTAGCATTCTGTTTAATGTGTCTCAAAAATTCAGGGCACTGTTTTCTGAATGAATTAATTTCAAAGATAAAGCCTTCATTTGTATTATTCTTGGTTGTTTTTTTTTTACTCCAATTGTATCCCAGGTGCCCCCTCCAATATTTTAGTTAAATTCAATCATTACCTCAAGTATCCATCATTCATCTGAGGCACACACCTACTTAAATATGTGAAGGAAATTCCTTTCTAGATAAATGGTGATGACTTTATATGTATTTTAGAGAGATTTAGATTGTTTACTAGTGTGACTTTATGCTGAGAGTTGAATGCCTTCTGGTTATCTATGCAGGGAGTGGGTAAAGTTTTATTTGGAGACTGTTACAAACTGCATCCAGTAATGTACAATGTAGCCTACTGCAATCATGCCCACCTCCCTTCTGAGGCCTGGACACATTTAAGAACATTCTTTTTATTGGATACTTTCTTTTTCAAATTATATATTTATACAAGGATCTCAGTCTGTGTTTATCATGTTTCAACACCCAACTGGTATCTTTATTTAGCACTCTACAGACAACTTACGTTTGTGGTAGACAGCATCATTTCCCCTAGCATCCATCATATCTGGAGAAGATGAAAAAGATTTGAATAGTTTACTCAATTGCTTTTCATTGCTATGATGAAGATCAAGTGGATACAGTGGCTCATTTTATTTGAGGTCAATCAATCAATCAATCAGAATAGAGCTGGAAGAGACCTTGGAGTTTTGTAATCCAGCCCTCTGCTCGAGCAGGAGACCTATAGTATTTCAGACAAGTGACTTGTCCAGTCTTTCTTAAAACCCCACAATGATGATGCACCCACAACTTCTGAAGACAAGCTGTTCCACTGATTAATTGTCCTCACTGTTAGAAAGTTTCTCCTTAATTTCAGGTTGCTGCCATGCCCTTGAGAAGATGGCTGGATCTTACTTATTTGGAGGTTTCTTGCTCTTTTCTTATAAGTAACATACAATTGTTTTTTTAAAAAAACCATGCTTATAATTGATGGCTAAGGGCTTAATGGAGTAGGATACATACCCTTAATGCAGAACATTGAAATTTAGGTATCCTATCTATGGGAGCCTCATGCTTCTCCTGAGGGCTGTTCCGAGCATCCAGGCATGGGAAGTGCTCCGCCTGTCATTGGATAGGCTGAGCTGATTTCTGAGGACACTCCTACTTGAAGCTCCTCCTTAGTGTCCCCAGTTTTTAGCTCAGCCTTCATTCGGGCTAGAAGCATTTCTCAGGCTAGGATCCTCAGAAAGAGAAGAAAACCTTTCAAACAAACAACTAAGGAAAAATGATGGAATTTTTTTTTTAAGCTGAAAAAACTATATAGAGTTACTATACATCTCCAAATGGACCTTGAACTTAAAACTCAAAAACAATAGAAAAAGTTCAATCCCAAAAAAATATTAAACAGAAAAATATTCTAAGAACTCCCCAAATGTCCAGCTTCCATGCCTAATCAACTAACTACCACTTTGATAACTTTAGTTGAGACTAATCCTGGAGATATTTTTCGCCCCATCAAATATATGCATGTGGTGCACTTGTCGGTGTGCACATGTGTGTATGTTCATTGATCAGAGCTTACATTCCAAAAGGAGTACTAAAATTTAAAGTATTAATTGGAAGTATCCTTACTAATTAAGGATACTTAATTAAAAGTGATTATGTGCGAAATAATTGAAAAAGTAATATATGTATCATTCAAACCTGTTCCAGCAGAAACTGTAAAAAAGGGGGAGAGAGAAAAGAGAATGGAAATAAAGTAAATGGAAGCAATGCTGGAGAAAGAAAAAAGGAGGAAAGTGTAGAAAGGGGATAAAATGTAACAGAATTAGGATGGAGAAAAGACCATGGAAAAAGAAACTTTGAAAAGTTCAAAAGGTTAATGTATTGGGCTTAGCAAGTATAAAGCTCTTGAATGCTTATTCTGAAATAAGTTGTACTGAGTGTAATGGTGTGGTCTCTTATTCTGGAGCATAATGAAGGATTTCTGAGCCCCTTAAATTTTGCTCTTGTGTTCAATCTTGCAGCTTTCTTTTGCATTTTTTCCAAACTCTGTACCCTTTTCCCCCTTGGATTTGGACTAAAGTAACTATTATATTTGTCAGCCAGAAGAATAGAAATGTCTTCCAAAATGTTTAGCAGTAGAACAGCACCAATATGTGAAAGTACAACTCATAGAAGAGACTTGCTCTTAT